TTTTCGATTAAATGCCTAGATTCTAAGATACGGCCGTTTTTTACCCTTTTTTACCCTTTTTCTCAAAGATCTCCTGGCCCAATTGCAAAAAAATTTGCACCATTCGATTCAGCGTCGTCGAATTACCATTATATCAAGTTTCTGGCAAAGTGGTCAAAAATTTGGCACTTCGCCCTTTCATTGCCTGGACTATGTAGATGATTTAACGTTGATAAAAGAAGAAAGGAAAAAAAATAAATAAAGGAAGTGTTAGGAGGTTTTTAACGCATGATCGTTCAAACTATAATTCACACCTTCCGAGTCTTCTCCTTTAAAAGTAATCCATAATGCCCATGCTTGTGTATAAAATAAATCTCACGGTACACTCGAGGTCTCGTGATTTATATGGATCGAACAGGACACAAAATGCGATAAAAGACTAAAGAAGAAGAACGGATTCCTATACATATATATATATATATATGTTTCTAGATGCGATTTTTCGTTCGTTCAGTTCAACGAATAAACAAGGACCCATTATCTTTATAGAAAGTATCCCAAGAGAATCGATCGATTTACATATATCGACTTCTTGGATGGTCTCGACAATGTAATAATTTTGAAAAAAAGAATGAGAAACGATGAGAGACAAAAAAAACAAACCCCATCACGAGAATAATTATAATATACGTTAAAAGTATAATAATATAATACATAATAAATTTATTTTTTTTATTTAACTTAACATCTAATTTTCCCTATCACAAATTCTTCTTCTTCACTTTATTTTCTTAATATCTTCGATAATTGTTTCTTTTTTTCAAAATGGCGTACTTTCCAGACAAATATTTAAAATGGTACGTTACGTACATACACACCTCTCGTAATATATTATATTTAAATATTCATTGATAATTTATGTAATTTAATTAGAAAAACATTTAAAAAAATATCCTAACATATAATTTTATAGAGTTATAAGATTAATATGATTTATAAAATACAGATAAACATGTGTATACGAAGCGTATAACCTCAAAATTGTTAAATGATGTTATATAGCAATTTAATCATGATTCCATTTAGAAGCTATTTCTAATATAAGTATTTCCCTCTCTCTCTCTCTCTCTCTCTCTCTAATGAATTTCCTCTATGGTGAAGTAACAAGTTCGTTCAATCTATATCGATTAGAAATAAACATCAAGAGAGAGAGAGAGAGAGAGAGAGGGAGATAAAAATA